ACCTTCACCTATTCCTGCGGTGCTTCCGACTCCTTCTTCATGTTCAAGTCCAAAGACAGGACTTTCTGCCCGGCTCTCTAATGGAAGCTTCAGTGCACCGTCACTCACCAACTCCAGAGGCTCAGTGCATACAATTTCATTTCTACTGCAAATTGGCCTCACACGGGAGAGTGTTACCATCGAAGCTCAGGAACTATCTTTATCTGCTGTCAAGGATCTTGTGTGCTCCATTGTTTATCAAAAGGTACTGTGCATGCTTTTTATGTCAATAGTTTTTCTAAGTAATATTGTTTCCAATGCTTTCTTGTGAATTATATATGCAACAATGAATTAACACAGATGGATGAATTGTTTATATCCTAATTCTAAGCATTGTTGGAAGAGTTTGAATAGACTAGCCTATCCAATAATAGAGAAACATGGTAATTAACCGTAACTTCGCTACCCTTCCCATTGGCTAATCAGCAAGATATGCAAATTAGCTGCCAACCAAGATGGCAGCCGGCAGCCAGGCAGCTGAAGCGAACAGGAGGCTTGCTTGCTCCCGTGAAGGAGGAAGCCAAGGTTTCCCACCTGCTGTTGCTGGGTTCTGAGCTTGCACTCTAAGAAACAATGTTGCAAATATAGAAGCTAAATAATCCCCAGCCTTTTCAGCCAGCTGCCCGAGCTGGAGTTGCAACAGTGTTTCAATTATAGAACCCAAACAAACCCAGATAGATACCTGCTTTCAGCAGGCGAGGTCTTAGAGCTGGAGCTGAGCCTCAGAGCTAAAGCCGGCTCTCAGTTCCAGTGACAGCCATAGAAGGTAAATAAATCCCAGAATAAAAAGAAAAAGAAAAAGAGGAGAGGTTGGGAGTATACTAATAAAAGGGTAATATTCAAATTGACCCTAACAGCAGAACGACTGGGAATGACTGGTCACTATGACACACACTGACCTCCAGGGGGGCAGACGCTCAATGCAGCAGCTGCCCCCTGGTGGTCAGTGTGCTCCCACAGGTGGAGCTCTGCTCAGCCAAAAGCCAGGCTGATGGTTGCCAGTACAGTGGTGGTGGTGGGAGCCTCTCCTGCCTCCTTAGCAGTGCTAAGGATGTCTGACTGCAGCTTAGGTCTGCTCCCCGCTGGCAAGTGGACATCCCCCGATGGCTGCCGGGCTGCCAGAGGGATGTCTGATTGCCATCTGAGGCCCAATCCCCTGGAGAGTGGGCCTAAGCCAGCAGATGGTCATCCCCTGAAGGGTCCCAGACTGCGAGAGGGCACAGGCCAGGCCGAGGGACCCCCACTCCCCCCTGAGTGCACAAATTTTTGTGCACCGGGCCTCTAGTCTATATATATATAAGAGGCTAAGCGACCATCTGTCCAACCAACCGACTGATTGGCTGGTAGGTATGACGTGCACTGATCACCAGGGGGCAGACGCTCAATGCAGGAGTTGCTGAGCGGCCCCAACTTTGCAGAGTGCCCTCTCACACTCCTGGACCCCTTGGGGGATGTCAGCCCGATCCCCACAGGCCAGGCCGAGGGACCCCAGCTGACAGAGGGACCCCGCTCATTCTACAGATGCCCTTTGAGCCGAGGCCCAGCCCCAGGTGTGGCTAGCCAGGGAGGGACCATGGGAGTTTGGCTCCAGGGCATGTCCAGCCCATCTTGCCAAGTACCATCCCACCAGCTGCCTTCTGATTAATTTCATTTCACTGTGCACAAATCTGCACTGAGCCACTAGTGAGTCTATAAAGTCTGAAATTTCAGAGTCTAACAACTGGAGCCTGTATCCCAACTTTAAAATACTGCTTATTCAGTTGTCCTTTTAAGAGCAGGAAAATCAGCATAAAGTCAAGAGAATTTAAGAAATCTCATTTGATTTCATAGAAACCAGTAGGTAGAGAGCACATGGTATCAAGGTGTCTTACACAGCTGCAGCTGAGTCCCAGGTCCATCCCTTGGTCTTCCTAGGTGCTCTCTTTTTTATACTCTTTCTTCCCTTTAGATCCTGATTTCACCTAAACTGCCATTTAATATGAGTAGATCATATTCTTTTTTTCAATATATTTTATTGATTTTTTACAGAGAGGAAGGGAGGGATAGAGAGTTAGAAACATCGATGAGAGAGAAACATCGGCTGCCTCCTGCACACCCCCCACTGAAGATGTGCCTGCAACCCAGGTACATGCCCTTGACCGGAATTGAACCCGGGACCCTTCAGTCCTCAGGCCGACACTCCATCCGCTGAGCCAAACTGGTTAGGGCGATCATATTCTTTTTGTCTTTTAAAAACCAAGTACATGAGTTGGAATATGTGACAGAATACATTAACATTTGAAAGTTGAGGGTAGTTTTGTTTCTCATTCACCAATCCCCTGCCCTGTATCATGCCATGTTTTAAGGAACGGTAGCTAAGTGCCGTAATTATTTTGATTTGATGGATGGCTGGTATGGTCTCTATCTTCTATATATATAAAAGCCCAGCGACTTGAATGGTGGAACAGCCAGAATGACCAGTTGGCTATGACACGCACTGCGGCAGCCAACCAGCCTGATCCAGGCCCCAGTCGACCCCCATTCTCCCCCTGGCTGGCCCCACCCCCATCAGCCCCCAACACCCCAATCAAGGGTGGGGATGGCTGGCCAATTGCCTGCAGCCCCTCCCCCCAGCCAGCCATAGCCCCTTTCCCCCACCAGCCTGGCCCAATGTGCCCCCATCAGGATGGGGCGGCTGGACCCCACCCATGCACGAATTTGTGCACCGGGCCTCTAGTTTTATAAAACTATATGTAGATGGGTAGCGTAAATGGGTTACATTTTATTTTTAATGAACCAAGCATATGTTTCACCCCTTTTTCAAACAAATCAGTATACTTTATGTTTCAAAATCATATCAGTGAGGTTAATATATATGGATTCAGGTTCTTCATCTTACTGTTTTTGTTTCAATTCCTTATGCTGTATATAGTTTGTCATTATCTTCTTATGTAGAAGTAATTAACAGTCCAAAAAATATTATGTGGGTTGTGAAAATGACCTATGCCTCCTGTGTTTAACAGCGATTTTTCTATTTCAGTATAGCCCACTTGTTTTATGGATCTGTAAAACCATCTCCTTTCTTTAAATATCTTTGCTTTTAGTTTCCCTTTCATTAAATGTTACAGGGCTTGTTCATAAATATTTTTGCAACTAGGTTGTACTTTTTACTTTAAAGGTAAGATTTTAACTTGAATATTTTGGTTTTATTTGAGCTCATAGAAACTCATAACCAATGACTTGGTGGAGTCTGTATTATTCAGTTTTAAATCTTTGGAAACTTCATTTATTTCTTATTTATTTAGAAGTATACTGATTTTATACAGGATTATTTTAGAATTAATGTTACTTCATCATTAATATAGATGTGAGAAGTAGGTCAGATGGAGTACACTCATGGGAAACTAGATTAAAAATCATAATCCAGGAAAAATTAGAGTGATACCAAGGAAATAAACAGGATATAGCTCACAAAAAGATAATTCAAGGTAAACTTTATACATATTAAATAGAACAATTGGTTATGGTTATAGCCAGCATAATATGAATATTATAGTGAACTTGAATTTGAACCAATATTATAGTCATATGGGGATGTGTTTGGCAAAAAATATATGGCATACATATGACATAAACATATTACACATTCCTTTTAGACATGTGCTAGAATGCTGCTTGTTTAAGTGAAAAAGATATTGAGCTTAAAACTAGGTCCATTATGAATATGGATGGATATAGTTAAACAAGGAATGTATGTATGTATGTATGTATGTATAAATAAATAAATATTAGATTCCTATATTTTCATGTTGGTTTATAAAACAAATTTAACAACAAACAGGATCTCTGCCTTCTAGGAGTTTATACGCTAAAAGGAGTGCTTTTTATGCTGATAAAAGCCAAAGAACTAGTGGACCTGGCAGTCAGGAGAACCAAGAAAGCAAGCCAGTGTGAGCAGCAAGTAGAGCTGGGATTGAGCCAGGCAGAAACTGGCTGATCAGATCTCTGCTGGGGGCTAATACCAGAGAGTCATATTACAGATGAGCAAATCAGGGTCGAGGGAATAGGCCAAAAGCCCTGCCTCTTTTATAGTGTTTATTCATGCATGAATTCCCAATGTCAAAATTACACGAGCGTTTAAATCTGTATTATTTTTTGTTACTGGGATGTTTAAAAAAAAACATACTAGAATAATCCAAAAAAAGAAGTGGTAGTGTTTTAAACCCTGAGACACACTCAGGTGATGATATTGATTCTGCCATTTTCTTGTTTTTTGAATATAGACCCTTTTCAAGTCACTTGACTTTTGATCCTGATCTGTAGGATCATAATATTTACCTCCATTTAAAAATTATGGTGATTAAATGTAAAGCCCTTGATACAGTGTCTGGCACATAATTAGTGCCCTCAAATAGTAATAGTCATGATTTTTTTAAGTCTCTTTAAATCTGGAACCACCATTGGTCCTGTGGTGGTCTTAAAATTTTAGTAAATACCAAAGTGAGTATAGCATTCCTCCAACATGCTGGCATTGCTTTACTCTTGCCTTTTGATTTTAGTGTTTAGCATATGACAAACTATAAAAAATAGAGCTTGTGTTCATTTTATTAGAGAACTGAGATTGTTTTAGGAATTTCGAAGAAATTAAATGGAATTGTCTATAACAAATGCTTTGCACAATACCTAATGCATAACTCTGTTGGTTGGAGCGTCATCCCATACACCAAAGGTGGTGGGTTCAATTCCTAGTCAGGGCACACACCTAGGTTTGCATGTTTGATTCCCGGTCAGGACTCGTGCGTTCGGGAGGCAAGTGATCGATGTTTCTCTTTTTTTTTCTCTCTCTCTCTCTCTAAAGTCAATTAAAAAAACACACACCTATATTCAATGAATGTTAGTTCCCCACCTTCTTACTTTCATATTGCCAAAGGGATGTACCTCTAAGATGCTACTGCTACTGCATTAATTTGTTGAATGAGCATAGTAATTGTAATGTGGGTGAGAAAGGAAATTCTTTGAGCTATAGCAGTGTTTACTGAAAATGAAATAATTCTAACTAAAGTTGACTGACTGTTTTTAGCTGATTTAAACATTTTTTAGTTTTGACTATTTACATGACATTAGACCTGAAGACTTTGCTTATGATTCCTTATTAACAAGTATTTTTGGCCTGTTCTTTGACTGAATACATTGTCTCTGCAGGCACCGGTTGGTTGTAATTTTCAG